AATTAATTATAATCCAAAATAAATATCAAGTATCGAATAAGAAAAAATGATGTAACACTTATGTGAGAATAAAAATTCCTTTTAGAAAATTTCCATTGGTTGCTTGGATAAGACTCATCTTCACAAGATTTAAAAGCTATGCGGCCAAGCCTGTGTTGTCATATTAGTTGACCAATTTAAATAAGTAATCTTCGTTTTACATTGGGTCTCTCAATTAATCTTTATAAATTATTTTGAATCCCTATCTAAAGTGATTTCTTTTTAACCACAAATGACGTGCTTGAGTGGTTGGGAGATGTGTCTTTTACACGGGAGATTAGATCTGTTATTCAGCAATGAACTCGTTACATGAAATGAGTGTGATTTGCGTTAGTTTACAAGCTATTTCACAAAGTGATTGAAATATTAAAGTCATAATCAAAATATTTTAGAAAAGAGATTGAAATATTAATGTAGCTCGTAGACATTACAAATTAATTAATCTCGTTATGAACCATAAATTTTATGAAAAATTCTATTTTACACCAAACCAAGCATAATTTGGAATTAACTAACAATGGATTAGTATAGTACACTATACATCTAATTGCTATATTCAAAGGGAGATAAAGAGGAAAACATTGCATGAACAAGGTCTTCTTTTGCCACCCTTTTTGTTTAATTCTTTTACAGTGTACATGAACAATATCATTTATAGGAAACTTCTACATGCCCTTCCAATCCTTGCATGTGCAGCATTTAAGCACTTGTCTTCCCTAGTTAAGACTTCTATAGCTAGATTCTTGCTTTAATGAAGATTTAAGGACACATTGATGGAGTAATATACAATAATCCAATGTATATAAACAAAACAAATTATAAAGACCATGACTCTTTAACCCTGATTATCTAGGTCAGTTTGAACGCACCGCGACAATTATATTAGATATTTGTTATCTCCAACCAGCTTCATCTAGATATTGTATATCCTTTTTGGTCTATGTGTTTAGGAAGTTAAAAATGTTAATATTAAATTTTGATCAAGATTTTACAAAGAAATAAGTGGTTTTCAATAGTTTCAAAAAACTATTTTTTCAGAGTGATTAAAAGTATTTTTTTTTCCAGAAATACTTTTGGAATCTTACACTCTCTTTAGATCATTGTTATCCATTGCATTATATTATTATCATACTTACAATATTTATTTTGATTGTTATTTAAAATATATTGTATTGTATTGTTATATCTCGTTGTTACATCATGAAAATCCTCATTTTATGGAACAATCGATTTGGTGTGTCCTCATTGTTATTCAATTTATTTTTTCAATTATATCCTAACATAATATTTCATAATACTTTTTTACCCTTTACCATATATTATTTAATTTTAATCAAACCTCATATCCTAGAATAATTAATTAAGGATATTTTGGTAAATATATAAATTACAACACAGTCAAATCAAGCAACAAAATATTGTTAAACAACAACAAATAATATAGTTTAGCCAAATATTGTATCTATCATGTAGTATAATACAATAAAGTAAAGTACAATACAATACATAATAAAACAATGATAACAATGATCCAAATAGAATGTTAACGAAGTGCAAATTGATGCTTTAATATTTTTGAAAATAGACTAATCTTAAAACTCACTTCTACCTAGAAAAATTAATACCCAAAAAAAAAAAGAATTTAGAAGTTTATAATTGTGCCCCTATAAATGCATGCCTCTTACTTCCCTTTACACACACAACTAGCTAAACTGAGTTGAGGAAAATTTAACAACAATGGCAAAGGGCCTTGTTCTTTTTCAGCTTTCAGTTTTATTACTTAGCTCATTCACAATTTTTAGCCATGCTCAAGATGAGTGGTACTCATTAGACAAAAACGTTGACCACCTTGCACCAGCTCAAGCCCCTAAGCCACACCACCACCACCATCACCACCCCATAAGCTCCCCAGCCCCTTCACCAATTCATTATCCAACAAAGCCACCAACTAAAGCTCCAACTAAAGCTCCATCTAAGCCACCAACTTATAGTCCATCAAAACCACCAGCTAAGCCACCATCACCTTATTATCCTTCTAGAAAACCTGTTGCTGTTAGAGGACTTGTTTACTGCAAACCTTGCAAGTTTAGAGGGATTAATACTCTTAACCAAGCTAAACCACTTCAGGGTAATTTCTTCAATATCCTTTTTTTTTCTTTTTTACTACATTAAAACTCATCTTAGTCCTTCTGGCAGCATGAGTATCAATCGATAATATTATACTAAATTTAAAAAATAAAACTCATCTTAATCCTTCTGGTACCATGAGTATCAATCAATAATATTATACTAAATTTAAAAAATATATGCATAAAATATCCAGTTTTACGAACAAAATGAACACGTATTTACATGCCCAATTCTTGCCCATAAATTCTCCCTTGCTTATATTTTTTTTAGCTTATACGGTTTTGAACAATTCTTATCTCGTGTATTTTATGATTAAACTAGTTGCAAAAACCATTTTCATTCCGATTCATAATTTAGTAAAGGTTAGACCCGATTCATATAGATGTTGAGTTTCCACATATATAGGTAGACATGTCCATCATTTACCTCCTTATATAGTCTCAAGTCCTATTAACAAACTTACGCTTATATAATCGATTAAATTAAATATAGTTATCTTTTAAATGACTCAATTTTATCATGATGTTACAGGAGCCAAGGTGAAGCTAGTGTGCAACAACACCAAAAAGACATTAGTTGAACAGGCTGAAACAGACAAGAATGGATTCTTCTGGATCCTTCCTAAACTCTTGAGCTCAGGAGCCTACCACAAATGCAAGGTGTTTTTAGTGTCATCAAACAACACTTACTGTAATGTCCCAACAAACTACAATTCTGGAAAATCTGGTGCACTATTGAAGTACACCCCACCACCCATGCCACCATCTCCAGCTCCAGCTACTCATCTCCCTATTAAACCACCCACCCCTAAATATGATTTCTTTACTGTTGGACCTTTTGGATTTGAACCCTCAAAGAAAGTGCCTTGCAAGAAGTACTAATTAACTTGGCAAATTACTAATTAGATATTAAGATAGGAAGGGAATGATGAATGTTGAAGGAGTTAATTTCAAGTGTTGGAGAAAGAAAACAAAAAAATTAAAGATTGTGTCCTTGTTATTTTCCAATAATAAATGATCATGTATGAGGGAAGAAAAGAAGAATGTAGTTTAATTTTCTTGTTTTTTTTTTCTTTTCAATTTGGTTTATGTAATGTTTAAAGTCCAAACAAGTGAAATGGATTTATAAAATGTTTGTCTTCTATGTTTGTGCTTTTTTCTAACATAATATTATGGGCTTATGGTCTTGACTCTTGTGTGACTGGTTTCATGCCACCGCACATCTAAAAAACCTTCATGGATTGTCATATACTCCCATTTTAATTTTGGGAACTTTCACAAATAGTCACTAAAATAGTTTTGATTATATTTTATAGTTATAAATTTACTAATTACGATTCGTAATCATATATTATAGGAAGAAGAATGCGAGTGGGATTGAGAGAGGAAGAATGCAGGGAGGCGAGTTATAAAATTCTCTGCCCAAATCTTTTTTCTCTTTCTCGTTTTATACACTTTGTTTTATATAATTCGCTTCAATCGTATATATATAGCGAATTATACATGTATATACTTGCTATAAAACGCAATTTTACAAACTTTGCTATAATAAACAAATATGAATTTTATGTTTGATATATGTGAAAATTGTCCTTCAACAAAGCCTTGTTTGACCCTGAATTAATGGGTTGGGCATACAGATATCCCAAATTCAGTGTTGGATTGTAACACAAATTACTCCATATTGTTGCTAGAGACGATAAATATATTTTTAATATAGTATAATTACGTAAGTTTCCAATTAATATTGCATGAACAAGGGATATTATTTAATCAAATCTTGTTGGAATTTTTCCATTCTAGTTTTGGTTGGGTATCTTTTTAATTCGGACACAGTTTATAGTGAGTAATTACGAGTGCCTTATATATGGTACTCCTTTTGCTCCAAATTACCTGAGGCACATGACACACTATTTTTTTTATTTTTTAGTTCTGTCTTAAAAAAAAATGTCATTTTTCTATAAATTAAAAAATATTTATTTAAAAATATCACCTTATCCTTAATGATGTGATTCATTGTTATACAAATAATCGGATAAATTTTCAAAGTCTTTATATCTTTACATTAAATATTAAATTAAATGATGTAATATAACAGACGAATAGAGTATATATATGGTTTCAACTTGTTTCATTGGTGATGGCAGATATCTCGTCTCCTTACTAGAACTATTTACAGTCTTACCAACAAGTCATACCAACTTATATTTTGTACTATGACTAGTTTCAATAAAAAGAAATTTCAATTCCACGAGTTTATTTACTTTTACCGCATAATTTGGAAATTATGCTAAATTAAGGGAAGCTTGTAGAACTTGAACATTTTCTTAATCAGTTTAATTAAGTATAAACTATATACATTTTTGATAAAATTTCACATCTCAGTAATAGATATGCAATTAGCTTGAACAGAAAGTGAATAGGGATTTTAGAATTGTTCGATTAAATCCCATTCATTTCCCCCCTAAAAAAAAATAAATAAGAATAGTAAAAGAAAGCAATGAATTTTTCTTCAACTAATACTACTACTTAAAAAGATATTATTTTTGACCCCTAAATCTTGATAAAACATTTCTCACTGTGGATTAACAAATATTTAGAACGTGTGAACACACAGGTTTAAAAGACAATGTTTGTTGTTATAGTACTATTAAATATCTTAATGGAATATTTACTAATGAAGGCTAAAAATATTTGATAATCATGTAAATGAAATTCTATTTAGTTAGGGCAAACTCATTTAATAGTTGAGCCCATTGTCCCTTCTAAAATTTCAAAAATGTTCTTTTTGCATGGCACTATAAATATGGTCCCTTGTAACGTTGTTTTACGTACTCAACATACAATTTTGAAAGAATTATAACAAGTAGTATTATGGCTATCATATCAGCAAAGTGTGTATTTGTAGTTTCAGTTTTAGTAGTTAGCTTATTCTTAGAGATCACTAATGGAGATCAACTCACTGATGATCAAATCCTTCATGAATCTTTAAGATTTAGGATTGGACATCGACATGGACATCATCATCAGCCACCTACTCCGCCAGCTGAGGAGCCACCACCAATTGAGGAGCCACCAGTGTTTCCACCGTCAGGTGAGGGCCAACCAATGCCTCCGCCAACAGGTGATGAGCCACCATGTCGCTGTGACGCGCCGTCTCCATTACCATTACTAGTTGATGATCAGCCTTGAGATATGCTCATAGATACCAAAAATTTAGTACTAATATGTTGAAAAATTAATATAAAGTTAAGTATCCAGTATTAATATAATGCACTATATAAATATAATGGTTCTAGATTTTGAATTTACTAGTCTCTTTTCTGTCTTGGATTCATAACGAAATAACATTATATTATACTCCTATAAGAAAACATATAAACAAATATAAGAACAATTGGGCCTACAAGCGGCCAATTATATATATCCTACTTCTTAATTAGCTATAAATATATACATATAGCCAGCCAATTTTGATAGGGTTTTTGACAATAATCCCTACCATTTAAAATAAAATCCAAAAGGTGACTACATTTTAGAATGGAGACATAAATCATAACCTCCTAAACAATATTATATTCATAAAATATAATTAGCCTCTAAATATATGAGATTTTTGTTGTAATTTTCTATGAAATGAGGAGGGTCAGGCTCGTACGAGATTTTCATTTGGAGATACAAATAGGCACAAACTCATTATACACTTATGGATTCGGATTTTTGGATCATCATTAAGCTGATATAATTAATTAAATTGTGTATCATACTTGCTTGAGGTATATAATATAAATATACATGAGCAACGGATATTAATTGGATTTAACTTTATTAGTTGATCAACTCCTCCATTGATTAGCACAGCTCCATACTAAAATTGTTTGTCGCAGTCTTATATATCAACTTGTATTTTGCATGACTTGTTTCAATAAAAGGAAAATTTCAACGCCACACTAACTTTTGGTATGGTTAGTGGATTTACTAACTTTTACCTGGAAATTATTCTAAAATAAAGGAAGCTTGTATAACTTACATATTTTATTGATCAGTTTAATTAGAAATAAATTAAAATACTACTATTTGTTACAGTAATTGTATTTTAAAGTTGAAATTGAAAAGAAGTACTTAAATTTTTTGTATTTGGATATACGTACTTCATTGATCGAAAATATAAAGTAGTGTATATGAAAGTTTGATATCGTCTGGGAACGAATATATCTACTCTTAAGACTTAATAAAATTAGTATAAGAACGTTTCTACCTACCTCAAAATTTAAATATAATACTTGTAAATACGAATGGCTAAATATACTCCAGAATCCTAGTTTTTTTTTTTCCAAAAAGAGTGGAAATTCATGGGATTTGATAAAAAATTATATATTTATTAAAGACTATTTGAACTAGGATTTTATGAGTTTATGGGACAGTCGCATCAAATCTGTGTAATTTCTTTTCACCGACTTGTTGAACTTTATCATTGTATTAAAACAAGATTTTAATATTAAACACGGTTTTCTAAATCAATTGATGACATTGAATTGAACAAAAAAGGAATGTTTTTTGGAAAAATAACTTAAATACACAACTATAAGTTTAGTATTCTCTAATTTTCCTTTCTTTTTTAAAATATTACATAATTCTTTTTTTTTTTTTAATTTT